AAAATAAAATAAAATAAAAATTGTGAGCAATTTGATATAAAGTTCGAATTTTACGCAGCTTTATCAAAGTAAATGAGAATACTTTCACATAATAACAAAAATAAAAATAAATAAAAGTAGTAGAGAGCTTAAATTATTCATGAAATTAGTAACAAAAATATTTATATATGTATATGTACAGAGTCGGATTTATGTTTATGATTTCTTTCGACTTGCCGTGATTGCATAAGCTGGAGAACAGAGGGGCGTTTCAAATGTAATATAAGCTAACAAAACCTTGTAAATATACAAGGGTCCTGTTATGCAATAGAATAAGCAGATCGGTTTACAGTTAAAATCCACCGGGACTGGTTTGTAGAAAACTGGGAGTTCCGCAGAGCCTCATGAGTTACACAATGAAGCAAATGTCTGTAGCAGGCTACATTTTGGGTCTTTATTGAGTTGGATGTCGTTGAAAAATTTTCAAATTATTCAAAAAGACAAAAGCACGTTCCAGAAGTTTGAAATTAAATATGAAATATGTTCAGTCTCTGTGTTAAAACAGTGTAAATTGTGAAGACAAAAGAATAACTGCGTGTCACCGGGATACAGAGAGTAATTTCCTGTACAGGTTAAAGTCCTCCTCAGATTAAATCGTGTAGTAAATATTTAATTATTCATTCATAAAACCATAAAATTGTTCAATTGTTTATTCTGGAAGGATCATGTATGTTACAATAAAGAAATAAAAAGAAAAAGAAAAGAAAATCTGCCGAGAAGTTTTTTTTTAATCTTCAAATTAAAAAGCATTAAATCATTACAGTAAGAAATGATTTAAATTACAATTTTTCATGTTTTATTCTTTTTTCTGGAGTTTTCAGTGGAAATGTGGGGGTTGTTAAGCATTTTTTTTTAAAATAGAAATCAGTTTTGTTATGCAGATCTAAAAAAATAAAAAATAAAAACTGCCCAAAAACCAAACTTTTAAATCCATCTGCTCATTTTTGAATATGTTCTAACATATTCAGATCGACTATATGACATTGTGGTAAAATAGTAAAATGATGCCAGTACACATTCTGAGTCAGCTAAAACTAAACAGCAAAGAAAACCTCTGCATATAAAATAAATATGTTTTTATTCATTGCATTCAATGCATAGTTGTGTATATATTTATGTATTTAATGACTGGGGTTTGTTTTACATTTATGTCTTTGTGTGAGGCTGCTGTAAAAGTTGGAATTTATTGATCTGTATAATCAGATCCTGTTCACCAAACATTAGCTCAACATTATCTAATTCAAATATTAGCTTAGTCTTTGAAAAATCCAGAACTGACTACAGTGGAAACTAAGGAAGCAGATGTACATATCAGATGTATGCAGCTTTCCACATCTTTTTATTTAAACTTCCATCCTTAAATAAAACTGAAAATTAGTTTCTTTAGCACAAGAAGATTTTCAGTCACCATATTGTCAGAAGCTTCAATCAAATGTTTGCACAAACATCTTCTTTGTTCCAGGCCTTGGCTGCGGAGTGTAAGAGCGCGGGCCACAGTGGCGTCCTGATCCCGATGAAGTGCGACCTGACCAACGCGCAGGACATCCAGTCCATGTTTGCAGCCATCAAAGCGCAGCACAAAGGCGTGGACGTTTGCATCAACAACGCTGGCCTGGCTCACCCCGAGTCTCTGCTGAGCGGCAAAACCAGCGCTTGGAAGAACATGCTGGACGTAAGAACTCACTGTGGCTCAGAAAATCTGAGGAGACATTGTTTTGAGGCTTTCAGGGACAATTAAAATATTTTATGTCTGAGAATGAGAAGGAGAAGGGAGAAACGAGTGAAATGAGCAGAGATAAAGATGGGCTAGTTCAGCTACCTTAGATTAACCAGAGATGGTTACGATAAGTTAGTGAGACCAGAGGATTCTTCACTCAACCCAGAGCAGGAATTAAAACAAAGTTAGAATCAAGAGAAACTCTTGTTAGTTCATCTAGAGAAACTCCTCACTCAGAATTTAGCATTAAACTGCTAATAACTGAGCAAAAGCCAGAGAAATTCCTTTTAGTTTACAAATCTAGAACAAACTTACAAAGTACCATCATCTTTATCAGAACAGGAATCCAGAGAAACCCCTAAATTATGGACTATTTATTCTTAAACATGGGGAACTAATTTGTAGTTTTATACTTTGTTTTTCTTTTGCTCTTTCCTTTGGTTTGTTGTTTTGTTGCATTTCCTTCTAATTCATGTAAAGCACTTTGTTGCTGAAATAATATAAATATAAGAACATCCATCCATCCATCCATCCATCCATCCATCCATCCATCCATCCATC